CTAGCCTGGCAAGTTTTTCCACAAAAGCAACTGCTTTTGCAGAAAAACTTGCCAGCTGTCTACACTGGCTGCTTGAATTTCCGCAAGAACACTGAGGATCTCATGTAAGATTGTCAGTGTTCTTGCGGAAATACTGTGCTGCTCCCGTTCGGGCAAAAGCCCTCTTGCACAAATGCTTTTGCACGAGGGCCAGTGTAGACAACGTGGTATTGTTTTGCGCAAAAAAGCCCCAATTGCGAAAATGGCGATCGGGGCTTTCTTGCACAAAGACGCGTCTAGATTGGCACGGACGCTTTTCCGTGAAAAGTGCTTTAGTGCAAAAGCGTCCGTGCCAATCTAGACGCTCTTTTCCGCAAATGCTTTTAACGGAAAAACTTTTCCGTTAAAAGCATTTGCGGAAAATCATGCCAGTCTAGACATAGCCAGGAGGTATTAGCTCCACTTGACACATGCAGAGACGAGGGGACAGTGAAGTGGTGCGGTTGGCCCCTGCAAGTCAGTGGTAGAGCTGAAACAGTAGCCCTGCTGTCCTGACTATCAGCCCCTTGCTCTAATTCTATCCCACAGGTTAATATGTGTTGTTAGTCTCCACTCTGGGCAGAATTCGAAGACAATGTGGGTCTCTGACAGTGTTCAACTGCAGAGCCTGGCTCTTCACCTCAAGCTGTGCATCTCATGCTTTTACTGCTGGCAGTCCTTGGCTTCATGCATGGTATTGGTCCTGAAAGAGCCCCGCATATGATCGCTACGCTGCACTCGGCAATCTTTCCCAAGGATTAAGTGGGAAGAAAATCAGAGAGATGTTGACTTTTCTGGGCTTGTGCCTCATGAAATATGTACTACGTAGCAGGTGACACGCCTGAGTTGATTAGGCAGAGCAGGAGAAAGATAACAGCAAACTTCTTTAATATCTGTCCAAATGCACTAGGCTCTGGTAAAACACCCACAAAACATGGCTTAGATAGTAGCATTCCCTCCATGGGCATCCCAATGTGTAGGAAGCTGATAAGCCATACTACAGAGTTAGCGAGAAGGCTAAATTTAAAAAGAAATTAACTGGAAAGCGTATTTATGAATTGTGCCTTTCCTGGAGTTGAATTAAGTTGCACAGATAAACAGGCGTGTTCATGAAAGAATCCCAAAGCGTTTTAGAAAGTGCAAGCCAGACTCACTTTACTCACTATCGGAACACAGTTGCTTCTGGTTCGGAACATGGCAGACAGCCACCTTATGATGTACAGCCACACTACACGAGAATTTAGGAGGAAAATGAAAAAAAAATAGTCTGTCACTGAGACTGCAAAGGAGATTTTAAGCAGGCAAAATGTAATAACCAGGACGGGACTATGACTAAGATAGAGGAGTGGCCATGGAAGCATTACGGGCATCCGTGGTCAGAAACCCTTTCTTCTCCCTCATCTGAAAAAGGGACCCACCAGCACAATGATCTTCTAACACTGAAAAACAACACCGTCTAGAAGCATCTTGAAGACTAATAAAACATGTAGATGGTATCATGAGCTTTCGTGGACGCAACCCGCTTCTTCAGAGGCTCATGATACCATCTATGTGTTTTGTTGTTTAAGTTTTTCCTGTTACAGACTAACTCGGCTCCCCCTCTGAAACCTCTAACACTAGTCAGGGGTACAGGTTCTTGGCTAACTCAGGAAGAGGAGAACAAAGGAAGCTGCAAAACCAGCTCACCTAGAAGACATGGCTCTTAATGACAGGCGGAGCAAGATTGTTCTGGAAACCTTAGCTGTGCCCTGAAACGGGCTCTTGGCAGAGTTCACTGCTGGAATCCGAGTGCATTACAGAACCCAGACGCACCAAGAGAGGGCAGTGCCCCAGGTAGTACAGTGACATTTTCCATGTAAAGATCACTCAGGACCAGAAGATGGGGTTGAAATGGCAGAGGTAAAGCAGATTTCTGCACTGCTGGACTCACAGGCTTGGAAGGGCTGTGCTGTCACACACCGTGAATAGCCAACTGCACCTGCCGCCTGATGGCAAACAAGGAAACGCTTTGATGCACACACAGGAAAAGCCAGTTGGGTGAAAACAAAACCAGCCTTGCCACTCTGAGCTGAGCCGTGCCTCATCTATGCAGAGAAGGGAGCTGTGTTTGAAACCTGGCTCCTAACAAGTCCACTGGCCAGAGCGGATTCCAATCTGGGCTAGGAAGTGGGGGTTTCTAACTTAGCTAGAGGTCAGGACAGACAGCCTGCTAAGCTGTGTCACAACGTGCTTCCGGAGCCATATTTTAATGCTGCAGACAGAGCAACTTGCCATTTCCTGACTCACCGACAACCAAGAAGGATCTAGCCCTTAGCTCCTGCCTGAGGCCTTAGGCCTCTTTAACGCCGCCGATCTTCTCCATGGCAGGGATGTGGGAGGCAAGAGATGAGTTAACTCCTGACTGCTGTGTCTACAGTGGAGCTGCCATGCAGTTCCATTGTACTTGCCTAACAAGCTTTATGCTTTAGGACTCTGTGCTCAACACTTTGGGAGGTGCCAGGGCATAATGCACCAGAAAGACAGCCGTGTGGTCTACTCGTGACCTGAACACGGAGCTAGGCCCAGGGATTCTCACATTCTTAATCCCGCCAGTGACTTACTCTGAGGCCTTTGACAAGTCGCTTAACCTCCCTTTGTCTCAATTTCTGCAGCAACAAAGGGGGCATAGCAACACTTCCTAAACCTCCAGGGGAGGGGAGGCAGTTGAATTGCAGTTTGCAGTGTGACATGTAAATGCAACAGGACAAATTCTCTGCAGAGCTCAGCACAAGATTTGGCTACCACAAAGAGCAATCAACAGTTAGACCAGATGTATGCACATTAATGAATGGTGCTTTTTCACAGAGGAAAAACTAGGGCAAAGTGGAATGGCAAGTGTGTGCCTCCTTCCCCGCAGGTGGCTCTCACTTCCTTACTGTGATCTGAATGTGCAGTTTTGGGGCACAGCTGATGCACCAGCTGTTGCTGCTAGTGCCACAAAGGATGTCATTTTCCCAGCCAGGCAGCTCCAGCAGCAGGAGACTCAGAAATGCCAAGTGGAATTAAAAAGTTTATTTTCAAATCCATGTGGCAACTTATTCAGGGTGAGCAGAGCCATGTAGCCTCGAGGACAAGACAGAGCAGCAGACCCACAGAAACAGGAGCAGTGTCTTGTTAACAACGCACTGCCTTATAGTGCACAAGGAAGCCTTAATTATATGTGACAGATTACTGGGCAGGTTATTTCAGATTTTTATGAATGATAAACATTGCAAAGAAAAGCCACATTAACAAGTGAAGCCCAAAGATGCTTCAGCAGCAAACACAGGCATGAAACCAGGGAAGGAGGAAGGAATAATTGAACATACCCGTTCTCAATCTTTAAGGTCATAGACAGAAGATTACCCTGCTGTTTTCCATGGAAATTAATCCTATTCCTGCACCTCCTTTTTGCCTGTATCAAGGAGATGAACCTCCCTCCTCACTCTTTCTAGGCCATGGAGAGAAGATGAGCCTGGTGCTCCTTGATTCTGCAATGTTCATAACATTTGTAGCTTACTAGAGTAAAATAGACCAATTATCTCTCATCGGTTGGGGCCCCAGCAGATCACGTGTAGAACCAGGAAGGAATCTTACCCCTGCCTTTCCCCCACAATTGGCTTTATGACCTATCTGTTGTAGTTTTGTTTTGTTTGATTGGTTGTTTTCCTTCCCTCTGGAGCATCAGGCATTGGCTGCTACTGGAGACAGACACTGGGCTAGCCATCTGATCTGAAGCGACACCCAAGCACCCTTGTGTTCCTAGATACTTAGCTGGAGGGATGCAGATTTACACACACCGAAGTGCCCTGCTCCTTGACTCAATCTGTGGTACTATCCTGGCCCTCATCACCACAGCACAGCATTCCTTTCCTCAGCCCCTGTGAGCTAGGGCATGGCTCTTATCCCCATTCTACAGTAGGCAGCTGAGGCCCATATCCCCAAAGGAACTTAAGTGGCATTGGAGCAGAGACTGAGAATGACTTTGTAGTGGGAATGTAAAATCCCATTTAATTGGTTAATGGGTTAAACATATTGGCTAACCAGTTAACTGATTCAAGGTGGTAGGCAGGGGGAGGCTCCAGCTGGGCCAGAGCAGCTCCTGCCTGCAGCCTCCCTGCTGCAAGCAGGGGTGCCTGGGCCTGCTGCAGATAGAGGCTGCTCTGGAGGCCAAAGCAGCTCCTGCCTGAGGGTTGCCTGGGTTGGGCTGTGAAGCACCACGGTAACAGTAGCAAGCCAGCCAGGGTCTTACCCCTTCGAGGTGCTGATCACCCACACCTCTTTGACTTCATGCCTGCTGAGATCAGCATCTAAAGCAATACCAATTCCAATCACTGAACACAAGAATTTAACAGATGGACAATGACATTTTATTAACTAGAAGATTTACCCGGCATTGCTTGGGTCCTTAACTCAATTTATTTTCCAAAAACCAAAAGTGTCCATGCTTCATTTAAATTACTGCTCTGAGCTGGGGAGGAGGGGTTCAGTGTGCAGGCTGCCCCAGGGAAAAGAGGACAGCCCCAGCCCTAACTGCACCAGCTTGGGGCCAGGTGAGAAGCACCTCTCCATGGCTGCTGCAACTCCAGCGGTCACAGCTGGGAGAGGGGTGCGTGTCTCCCAGTTGGGGCAGGTCCAGATTAGGGAATAGTATACTACCTGATAAGCCATTGGCTAGCTGAGTCACTGCTCAACTAGTTGCTCCCACCACCCCCTTGCTGTCTCTGTATCAGAGGCACCAAGTAAGGGGAGCAGGAGTTGGTGCTGAGGGGAGCTGGCTTACAAGCTGGGTCCCCCCAGCACCGTCTCCACAGGGAGGCAGGGACACAGTGGAGGAAATAGCACGAACGGGGACTGAAGTAGGTTCCCAACTGCTGCGCCTCTCCCTTTGAAATGTACAAAAGCCTGCAACTGGAAAAGGTGTTTTATGGCTCCCGGTCCACTAACTGCCATTCTCTCTTTACCATAATGGCCTTGTTTTACAAGCAAGCAAGACTCTCTCATACACTGCTTAGAGGGCCTAACTAAAATACATCATATGCAATTATGTGCTTCATACATTCTATATGACAGCCAGGGTTTCAGTATGTCAGTCCCCCATACAATAATTGTAAATTAAAATAGACAGCTAGAATTAAAAGCATAGAAACAATTTTCTTATAGTGTCTGTTAGAGCCCCTCCCCCTTGTGCCCATGTTATAAGTCATCCATACAAATGTAGAAAATTGACAACAAAAGTCTCTGAAGCCACAGAACACTGATTTTAATTATAAAACCCACATAATCATGTGTATTAAATTCACAGAAAGTGCTGCTCTTTTGCTGGCTGTACTTCAAAATCAATATTAGAAATAGCATAGACTCCACTGAGATCAAGGCCAGCCTGATCCAGGAAGAGCTTTTCAAAGGGCAAATAGCAAACAGTTGAATGATTGATATTAAGGATCACATTTGTACCGAGTCAGTACAAATGCATCTGGAGTACAGGCATTTCTTCTCCTGGGAGGGAATTTCCACAAAGGGAGCTGACAGTAAGTGGTCTTAACTCCAGAGACAATGAGCCAAACCCTCAGGACTGAGGGGGCTGCTTGGCTTTCACGCGCTACCCATGTAAGCGTCCCACCAAGGTTGCTTACTTGGCCTGAAAGGATCACTCGAATGTCAGGTGATTCTTGGGCAGGGCAGAGTTGAAAGAGGGCATTGCTGCAGAAAAGAGAACACATGGCTGCTGATTCTGGGTTTGTGTTTTGGTCTCTTATGGACTTTGCAATATGGCTGAAGTCTGAGGATCTGCTCTACCATGGAGGTAGAAAGTCATGCTGCGCTATCATCAGGCCTCTTTGCACACCGCCCTGTGTTCTTTGGCCATTCCGGAAGATCTGGCCCAGTACATATACATTTAGTATTTGGACAGACATTAACTGGTGGGGGTTTATCAACATGCTATGCACACAGCCTGTTACAACAACTGCAATGTTCGTAAGCACCTCTCAGATTCTCTCCTGAATCTAAAGTGAAAAGATTTAAAGTGACAACTGACAAGCATAGATTTGCCCTGCTGCCCTACGTACTGTACAGTCCAAGGACCAGATAAGTTGTCAGTGCCATAACGTTACTCAGATATCCTGAACCCATTTAGATTTCTCCCGTACTCACATATTTATATAACCCCTGAAGACATCCCTCTGCAATC